AGCCTGTCACAGATGTATCAGCAGATATCAGCCTGTCACAGATGTATCAGCAGATATTAGCTGTCACAGATATATCAGTTTGATGAAGTTAGCCAGTAATATCCTACACATGAAAACACTCTCAGTGCTGTATAGAGCATGTTTGTAGCATCACAGCTGAAGAGACAGTGCTAAGGAATCACAGTGGTGTCTTCACAGCGAGCTCAGAACTATTAATAATTGCTCTGGTAAACAATGACCCATCGTCTCTTCTTCACAGTACATCACTGCTAGCATGCTCGTCGGTTCTGTTTTCTTTTATAATCCTTGTTTATTGAAAGGTGGGGCAATACCTGCAAACGCACCTTTAAACACGTTCTTTATGAGTTTGGGATCAGTCCGTTAGTTTGGGCCTCAGAGGTTTCATGGCAGCAGGTAACTAACCCAACCTAACTACAGCCATCAGGTGTCCTCTCACTGGGTCCCGTCCCATCACTACTTTAGGTCCTTGGGGTTTTTACATCCAATCAAAGAATTATTCCACCCAGTAAAAAGGTTTCCTGTTCTCAGCCTCGTTGCTGTCTGCCTTCCATAATCAAGCTTTGCAAGGGTTTCTTTGTATTTTTGTTCTAAATTCATTTGTTGTATTTTCCTGGTTTCTTTAGGTCACACGGACTGTGGAGCAACATAAGCCATCAGCTGTCATCCAGTTGAAATGTCCCTAAGCTCTACTTTAGAAACACACAACACACTTAATGGCATTTTTCTTTTCTTATAATTTAGGCCAGTTCACAGTGATCCTAAGATATGTTCTAAGACCTGCAGTGTTACAGAAAAGCGTGATTCCCTGAGAGCGAGCACACGGAGAACAAACCAGGCATTTACACTGGAAGAAGCAGCTTTATTTGTCCTGAACAAACGTCTCTGTGCTGCATGATGCAATGCAACTGTGAAACTCCCATATGGAGAATACAATTAAGACAATACACTCTGATTTAGACTGCATCCTACTCATTCGAACCGTTCATTAGCTTCGACAACAAGGCGCAGATGCACGTCAGCATGTCTCATTAGTATTCAAGAGAAACACCACAGTAAGAGCACCTCTGAGACCGTGCTGAGCTATGACGTTTGTGGTTTTCCACTCTTTAGAAAAGTCCACCACAGAACATCCTGTGTGTTCCAGCTGGGAGATGAAGTCTCTGAATAAAGGCCTGAGGGTGCACAAAATTTTCCATAGGCTCAAAGCATCAAGGTCCACAAAACAGACGTAACCCCACAGTGACTT